ATGAACTATGTGGGACATCCAAATTCTTTCCTCTTGGTGGAATTTTGTTAAAATTAGACCTGAGAGAAGGTAATAGTGGTATGGGATAAGAATTAAATATATGGATTAAATTAAATCACACTAAGTGCCTAGTCTACTGCTTGGCACAATTTATGTACACTTCTTAGATATTTAATTTTAATATGTCTTTAGAGCATGTATTGGGAAGCCCAGTCCTGTTCTTTATGCCCAAAGGAGAAAAAAAAAACACATGCACAAACCATGGTCTCTGTTCTCAAAGCATTTGCGATTTCATGGGCAATGATAAGATGTACGCGTGACAGTCTAGAAGCAGTCTTCATGTGATGCATAGGCTACAAGGAAAGAGATGGCACCGATAGCAGGTAGGGGAGCACTGGGATTTAAAATGAGGCAAGAACAGCCATGGGTGAGGCTAACTGGAAGAGGCTTGATGGGGAAGGACAGTTGGAAAGTGTAGGTGCTCTTTGGCAGAGACTATTGGAGAAGGTGCCATGGCCATGAGGGGGGTGGGGCAGAAGCCCAGAGATGGTTACCATGGCAACAAAGGATGAGTGGACTCTGAGGGGCAGGGTCTACAGGAGCCCAGGGTATGATGGCACCTGGGGCTGGATCATTAGTGAAGCTGTCAGGGGCCCAAGCAATCATGGCTTCTGGAGAGAGGGGGGTAGATGATGGGCATTTCAAAATCTGTGTAAGGAAAACATTGGCTTTCCTTGGAATTCTGGAGTGAGAAGCATCCCCTAGCTTAAGTGAGAAGCAGGCAGGGAAAGAGAGTTTCTATGTTTGAGAGGAATGGGGCTGAGGTGCCCCCTGGAAAGTGGCAGGTTTGGCCAAGTTGCCAGTGGGGACAAGAGGTAAAAATGGCCTACAACAAAGGTGATAGAGCAGTAGGAATTGAAACTTCACATTACAAACCGTAGACACTGTGGCAGGAAGCTCTGGGGCAAAAAAGAGTGGGCACCCCCATCTCCTCCCCCGCTCCCCTCGCCCCACTGAATTAGCAAAGACATTCTGTGCTTGGTGATTTGAGCCCCGAAGGACAAGTAAGGAATTGTCATGGATCTAGGTCCTTGAATTTTTAAAAAAGTTTACAGTAGATTCTTATATGATAGGTCGAAATGAAAAAAAAAAAAGGTTGTAGAATCAAGATAAAAATAGGACCTATATATCTTAAGCATTTTATTTTAATTTAAAATGTAAAATGTACATTCATTCCCTAATATTAAAATGTTGAGTCTGGGCTTTTTCTTTGACCATGGGAATGCTGATTGGCGTTCCCTGTTGTCTTTCTTATCTGGGCCATATTCATAAGGATTAGTAATGGCTTTGCTACTCCTTCCATTGAGAGGTGGAGTTCAGTTTTCTTCTACTTGAATCTGAGCTTGTCTTAGTGATTTTCTTGACTGACAGAATGCAGCAGAAGTAGCCATTCCATGGCTAGACTCGGAACTCCCTGCTGGGCTCCTTGCAACATTTTTCTGGGAGCCCTGAGCTCCATGAGGCTTATGGGAGCTGCCAGGTAAGAATTTACTACCTTGAGTTGTCCAGGCTTAAAAGGCCACACATGCGAGCTCCAGAGGATCGTCCCAGCTGGGCTCAGCCTTCCAGCCATCTCTGTGAAGGCGCAAGCATGTAAGTGAAGCCATCTTGGGGCCTCCCTCATTGATCCACATGGAGCAGAAAAATTGAATGGCTCAGCCCTGTCTGAATTCCAAATCCACAAAATGGTGGGATATTATAAAATGGTGGCTGTTTTATCTATTTTTTAAAAAATATTTTATTTATTTGACAGAGAGAGACACAGCGAGAGCAGGAACACAAGCAGGGGGAGTGGGAGAGGGGGAAGCAGGCTCCCCGCTGAGCAGGGAGCCCGATGTGGGACTTGATTCTAGGACCCTGGGATCATGACCTGAGCTGAAGGCAGACGCTTAATGACGGAGCCACCCAGGCGCCCTACAATGGTGGTCGTTTTAAGCCACCAAGTTTTAGGAGAGTTTGTTACATAACAGACACCAGGACTTTGTAAAGAAGGCTGGGCACATGTTCATAGGACTGGGAGACACCTAGAAATCATGCAGGTTGGCTCTCTGACTTGCACATTAGAATTCTGAATACTGTCAGAGCCCTCCAGAAACTGATCGCAAAATTCCGTGGTCATACAGAAGGTGCCTGAGCCTCCTTATTTCAGCTGTCCCTTTCCTGCCCTTGACACCGAATGGTCTCCTGTGCTTACCTTTCCTAGATAACCTTGCTGGAACAGTGCTAGCAAGCAGAGTTAGATACATCAATGGTCAGCCATATCATTTCACCCATGCGCAGTTGTACACAAGAATCTGTTCTTCAGTGGTTGGTGTCTGTCTGCCTCCCCAGGCCCTAGAGAGTCTCTGAGGTCAGGTCCTATTTGTTTGACAGGAAATAGGGGGCGGCAGCCCAGTTTAGGGAGAACTTGGAGCTTCCTAACTCAGTGCTCCTATAGATGATCCCATGCCCAGGTCTGGCCCCATGGGCATGCAACTGGTGTGGTTGCCCAGCGCTGCATACATAGAGGAGCTCTATGCTTGGTTTTATGCACTGCTGTCACCATCTTGAAATTCTTAATACGTTTTGAACAAGGGGCCCGCTCTCTCATTTTACACTGGGCCCTGAAAATTATGTGGTCAGTCCTGCCATGACTCATGCTGCGTATGGCCAAGACCAGGACCTGTCGCTGTTTTATTAATGTTGCCTGGAGTCTCTCACTGAACACCAGTGAGAAAGTGGGGGCCGTGAGGAAGGAAAAACCTCACGGAAGCATGAACGCTGTATTCTTGTTTCCCTTGTTAAGAGATAAACTGAGGCATCTTAAAAACTTTAAGAGTTTATTTGAGCAAAAAATCGATCTGAATCAGGCAGCATCAAACCAGAAGGGGTTAGGAGGGCTCTGCCCCCAAGAGTCAGGAGAAAGACTTATATGGAGACAGTGGGGAAGGAAAACAAGGAAATTATTTAAATAGCTGTCGCTTAAAGCCTAGTTGGCTGTGGTTGGTTGTCTTTAGTGTTTTGATTTCGTAATCTTGTGCCATTACAAGCTTAGATTTTGGTTTGGTAGGCCACTATGACAGTAGAGACATCCCCAGTCTGATGGCCTTCTCGTTCAATTAATGTAACACTCTCTATATGACAGATGCCCTTCCACAACCCCCTCCCCTCCAAGATTGATAGAATGACCCACCTCTGGCAGGATGGACAGTTTGGGAGGGATGCTTGGCCCAAGTTGCTGTTAGAGGCGGACAGCACCCTCCAGCTTAGGCCTGAAACAATATCACCCAGAATGTGCTGACTCTCAGCCCTCCTCGCTAGAAACCGAGCTGAGGAAGCTCCTTTGTCCAGCAACTGGGTTTTCCAACCAGGGGAGATATGGGGCAGTGGGGAGCAAGAGTGGGGCAACCACTGGGGGTCTGGTCATTAACAGCTTCTAAGAAATGCAGAGCGAGACCCTGCCTGGGGCTTCAGTAGAGACCTGGAAGCTGGGGCGGCGGTGAAGGAGACCCATTCCCACTCCTGCAGCAAATGTGAAGCCCACTCTCTGGCTAATACCCCCTCCTCCTAACAGACCATCCCACACTTGGTAATCCTTTAAAAAACCCTTCTGCTTGCCCTCAGCTTGCCCTTCCACAAACCTGCTCAGATCCTCTGCAGCTCTCTCTCCTTTGTCTACTGGCTGTATCTCAAAATATCCACAGGCTGGGTCGGAGGTCACTGAGCCCATAATTCTTCACCTTTTCTCTTTCTCTTTATTGTCCTAGAACAGTGATTCCCAAAGCGTTGTCTCTGAGTAAGTTGTTAGTAACGCTAATTCTCGGACTCCAACCCAGACCTATTGATTCAGAATCGCACACTCTTGGGGTGAGGCTGATAATCGGCCATTTGTTTAACAAGCCCTCCAGGGGATTCTGATGATCAGTAAAGTTTGAGAACTCCCCTCCTTTAGACACGTGGCTGAAATAAGGCTCCTTACCAGCACACCCAAAATTTTAGAGTTGACTCCTGTGTGATGGGATGGGGCAGCATTTTTGCAAAGGGAAGCAATAGTCATTCTTTTATGTACAACACCCCTCCTCCACACACACACACACACACACACAGGCACACAAAAATACACATAAAGGGGGAAATGCTTTGCTTCCCATTCCTCCTCTATTTAACATCTGTTATCCATGCTCTGAGTTGTTTGAACAAGAGAATCAGCGTTAGAATAAACTTGCTTGGAGGGTGTCTGGAAGGCAGGTGCGGCCTGCCATTTTCAGTGCAAGCTGAGAACAAACACAGCACACTGAGCCCAGATCAGCCTTCTGCTGGAGACAGAGGTGGAATTTCTGTTTTGCTGGGATGATACCCCCTGAAGCATTGCCTCACCTTGGGGCCTTAATTAGAAGCAGCGGTGGCTCGCAGGCCTGCTGAATTTCCATTTGATGTGACTGCACAAAAGAGCTGAGATGGAAAACCAGACCTCTTGTTATTTCACACATTCTGAGAAGCTTTCTCATAAAAGCCCCTCTCCTGGTTCTTACTTTCTGTCACACGCACCAGGGTAATTTTAAAAAGGTTTATACAGGGTAAACAGTTGGTGAGATCTGGCTTTCCCTTGTTTGCCATAGATGATCAGATTCAATTTATGTCATCTTGGCCCCAGCTTGGCTCTCTCAAGGGAGCCCGTCCCTTGCCAGCCTCCTTCCTGTCCACACACCACTGCACTTCCTGCCCCAGCTCCCCATGGGAGGAGGGGAGGCTCTCTCCTTTCTCCCCGGGTCTTCCTAGAGATGTCCTAGAGCCTAGTATTGGCTTGGAATCTTGAAAATTTGAAAAAATACTCAATATAAGTGAAAGGACGCACTCGACATGTGGGTATTTTAATTTCATGATGCACCCTCGAATCGACCTGAGAAATCGAACTAAAGAGCTGTGGAGATCTTCTTATGGTTTTCTTTATACCACTATAGGCAACAGAGGATATACTGCAAGCTGAGAGACACCAGCTATAAGCCATCTGATTGAATGATAAGAAGCTAGAAAGGGGAGAGGTGTGATTGTCTTCCTGGATCTGCCACATGTGTTGTGGGAATGAGCTCCTGGGCTTAGCCAAGTGCAACTCTTGGCTCATGGTAAGTCCCAACTGATTGTCTTCCACGTGGCCCTTAACTGCACAGCGTAATACCCTTACCCTGGGTTAACAGGAAACACATAAAAACTGATGTCTTCTGACATAGCAAGGGGGTCTTGCACCTGGATCTGTGGAGCTGAATGATTGGACAGTCTCGCGTTGCTCTGTCTTGATTCTCCAGTTTTCAATTTGTAGTTTACTTTTTTTTTTTTTTTTTTTTAAACTCACTTAACTCCGTTTAAGCACAAAAGGGAATTTACTGGGGAATATTCGAGGATCTTACAGCACCCAAGGCCAAGAGCCACAGCCTAAGCTTCATGAAGGCCTGGATACAGGAAGTGAATGGAAAGTCATCAAGAACCTCGTTGGTTCTTTTATCCTGACTCTTCTCTCTCACTTGGGGTCACCTGGACTCTTTTGCTTCTTTCTCCATGTTTGATCTGTGTTCTTTTTCTCTGTAGACAAGCTTTTACTTCTTTGGCATGAGCATGGATAAACATGGCTGTCGCAAAATGGCAGACTGCTCCCTAGTTCAAAGGGGGAGCCTTGAGGATGCCCCAATTCCCAATAGCGGGTAGAGAAGCTGAGTAACCTAGATTGGGTCAGTGGTGACCTAGTCTGTGGGTGGGGCAAAGTCGTGTGATGCTGATATTACTGCTGTGGTCCACTTCATTAGGTGGAGATTTGTTCTGTTAAGAAAAATTATCTCAATTTTGGAAATAAGGCAAAAGGAGGACAGCATGTTCTTTTGATGTCGTGTTGAAGCATTGTTTAGCCACCTAAAGGTTCTTTAATTATCTGGGAGATCTATCTTTATTTGATTCACTTTCTGCTACTGATCAAAGACCCAGATTCTATGAAGTTTACATGATAATTTATAGATTTTTGTCCAGCAGATATTTAAATTATTTCTATCTCGTAGAAAATATAACTGAAGCTTATGATTTTATTGCCCAAACCACATTAACTAGTTTTGTACCTAATCTAACAATCTTATTCCAATATTTTCTTCTTTAATGACGATGCAATCCTTCACTCTCTGCTCCTCCTTTAAACGAGCCCCTACCATCCTGCTGATTTCCTCATACATGAGTTGCACCGATCTTGACATGTGTTTATTTGTATGAGAATCATGTTAACTTTTTGAAAATTGTATTTCTGTAGTTCCCGGAAAAAAGGGGAGGATTGGATCGGCACCTCAATATTATATATTTTTTTCTGGTTCCTCTGAATCTCCTGTTCCTTAATGGCTGCCACAACATTTTACCAATGATCTGGTCTTTTGCTTTAGTGAGAGTCTAGTGTCAGTAAACATTTTTCAGTCTTTGTTGGTCTGAAAGATATTTATTTCATCCTTGCTCCTGAAAGTAACTCTCGTTGGATATCCATTCTAAGGTGACAGTCTAAGGTAATTCTCTCTTAGGCCTTTGAAAATATGATGCCCCTGTATTCTGGCTTATTGCTGTTGAGAAGTCAGAAGCCAATCTAATTGTTATTCTATCATAGGTAATTTTTCTGTTCTCTCTGGTTGCTTTTAAGATCTTCTCTTTCTCTTTAGTATTTTGTCTTTGACTGTCAGAATCTTTTTTTTTTTTAAAACATTTTATTTATTTATTTGAGAGTGAGAGAGTGAAAGAGAGAGATCATAAGCAGGGGGGAGGGGCAGAGGGCGAAGCAGTCTCCCTGCTCAGCTGGACTTGATCCCAGGACCTGGGATCGTGACCTGAGCCAAAGGCAGACGCTTAACTGACTGAGCCACCCAGGCGCCCTGACAGTCAGAATCTTAATGCAGATTCTTTTCTTATTTGTACTTCTTGGAATTCACTGGGCTTCCTGATTCTGAGGATCAGTGCTTTTCATCAACTCTTGGAAACATTCAGTTAATATCTCCTCAAATATTACTTTCTTCCATTATTTACATTATCTTATTCCAGAATTCCAAGAAATGAGACATGAAATATTCTTACTCTATCTTCCATTTCATATAACCTCAATTTCATCATCTTTCTTTCCCTCTGCGCTGTATTCTGGCCGAGTCCTCTAAATCTATCTTCCAGTTTACAATTCTTTCTTTAGCACTGACTAATACTCTCTTCTGCCCAATAAGCCTAGGAAGCATTATAATCAGGAAAATGCAAGTAGAAATGATTAGGCTCTCATCAGAATGGCTAAAATGGAAAGCAAAGGCAATTTCAAGTGTTGATGAGATCGTGTAACAGTAGCCGCCCTGCTGATGGGACTGTAATTTGGTATGGCTCTCGTAGAGAAGGATCGTCACTACTACCAATGTTGAAGATTCTCATACCCGTGGAGCTAGTGATTCTACAGATAGGTGTTTAATTAGCATAAATACAGGCACATATGTGCTAAGAGACTTACAAGCTTGTTCACAGCAACATGACTCATAATAGCTCAAGTGTTCATCAAGAGTAGAATGATAACAAATTTGTGATATATTCATACAACGAGAACTATAGCAATGAAGAGGAACAAACTCTAGCTATAAACAATCATGTGGATACATTTCACAAGTATAATGTTGAGTGAAAGAAACCAGATTCAAGGGCGCCTGGGTGGCTCAGTTGGTTAAGCGACTGCCTTCGGCTCAGGTCATGATCCTGGAGTCCCGGGATCGAGTCCCGCATCAGACTCCCTGCTCAGCAAGGAGTCTGCTTCTCCCTCCCTCTGACCCTCCTCCCTCTCATGCTCTCTCTCATTCTCTCGCTCGCAAATAAATAAAAAATCTTAAAAAAAAAAAAAAAGGGGGCGCCTGGGTGGCTCAGTCGTTAAGTGTCTGCCTTCGGCTCAGGTCAGGATCCCAGGGTCCTGGGATTGAGCCCCACATCGGGCTCCCTGCTCAGCAGGAGGCCTGCTTCTCCCTCTCCCACTCCCCCTGCTTGTGTTCCCTCTCTTGCTGTGTCTCTCTCTGTCAAATAAATAAATAAAAAATCTTAAAAAAAAAAAAAAAAAGAAACCAGATTCAAAAGAATATATTCTGGATCAGCCCATTTATATAAACAAACAGAAAAACCAAAAATGTTGTGAAACAAAACCGTTGTGATTAGGGGTGAACACTTAAGAGTAAAAAACTATTAAAAAAGGGTAGGATAACCATAAAAGTCAGGGTAATGGTTCGCTTCGGGGAGGGTGGGATAGTGTACTTACTGAAAAGGGATGCTCAGGGTTTTTTGGGGTACAAGTAATATTCTATTTTTCAACCTGGTTGTTGGTTAATTGAATGTTCATTTTGTAATAAATCATGGGGCTCTATGCTGTTTTGTGAAAAATAAAATGCTCTGATTTGAAAATAATGAAAATGCAACATATCTAAATTTGTGAAATGCAGTTATAGGGAATTTTATAGCCTTAAACACTTATATTATGAAATAAAAATGGCTAAAAATCTAGGAACTGAGTATTTGATTTAAGAAGTTAGAAAAAGAACATTAAAATAACCCAAAGAGGGCGTCTGGGTGGCTCAGTCGTTAAGCGTCTGCCTTCGGCTTAGGTCATGATCCCAGGGTACTGGGATTGAGTCCCACATCGGGCTCCCTGCTCAGCCGGAAGCCTGCTTCTCCCCCTCCCACTCCCCCTGCTTGTGTTCCCTCTCTCGCTGTCTCTCTCTCTCTGTTGAAAAATAAATAAAATCTTAAAAAAAAAAAAATAAAATAAAATAGCCCAAAGAAAGTAGAATAAAGAAAGCAATCAAGATTTGAGAAGAAACTGATGAAATGGTAAACACATAGAGAATACAATATAGAATAAAATGATGATCAATATGTTCATTCTTTGGTATTACGAACAAAGTTAACAGATTTCTAGCAAGATTGATAGAGATAAAGAGAGAAGACAGAAATAGTCAATATTAGGAAATGAAAAAGGAAATATGTAACAGATACAGCAGAGCTTACAAATATAGTAAGAAACTATTAAGAACAAATATATGCCAACAAAATAGAAACTTAGGTGAAATGGGCAAATTAATGGGAAAATACAACTTATCAACACTGAAAAGTAAAAGAAAAATGGAATACTTCCATGATCATTGAATTGAATAAATTGAATTAGTACTAAAGAATCTTCCCATTGGGAACATGTGAGACCTAGAGAGCTTCAGAAGCAGGTTTCACAGACTTCAAGAAACAGATTTTCAAAATATTACAGAAACTTACAGAGAATAGAAAAAGAGGGGATACTCCCCAGCTCAGTTTATGAAGCTCATAAAAAAGTCTTCCAGATGAGGGCAATATGAGAAAGGAAGATTATAGGCTGATTTCACTCATGAACACAGATACAAATAGCCTAAACAGAATTTTAGCAAACAATTAACAAGATATAACAAGACAGCAGATCATGGCTAAATTGGAATAGGGGCATATCCCAGAAATGCAAGACTGGCTCCACATTTGAAATCCACTAATATAGTTATCCCGTTTATGGAACAAATGAGAAAATTCATGTGGCATTCTCTCAATAAAAGCAGAAAAATTGGTTGATAAAATCCAACATCAACTTATGGTAGAGTCTTAGCAAACCGGGAGTAGAAGAGAACTTTCTGAACCTTATCAGGGACAACTACCTATAAAAAATAACTTACAGCAAAGTCCACACTGAATGATGAAATAGAAAAAAGCAGGTCCTTTAGACATTAAAAACAAGACAAGGATTCTTGCTTTCACCAGTTTTTAGCCAATACAATAAGGCCAAAAAAACAAAAAAAGATTTATAAGGTTTAAGGATTAGAAAGGAAGAAAAAAAACTGTCATTCATACATGATATAATTGTTTGCAGAGTCATAGGCAATTTGTTAGAATTTATAAGAGAGTTTAGCAAGGTTGCCAATTATAAACCCAATTTAAACAAGTCAATTGTATTTTTATATACCAGTACCATTTGGAAAATTTAATTAGATAAAGCTGTCATTTACAATAGCAATAAAAATATAAGGAAATTATGTCCATTTTTTCAAATTTGAGCTTGAGATTCAAAGCATTTCCAATA